ATTGTAGTTTTCCCATTCTTGAATGCCGCGTCTGTGGATCAATCGGTGATGCGCCTTCACTTTTAGCAGTTAGTTTTCGAACGACTTGGTGGGTGGCAGGAGCTTCAGGCATGTCATCTTTTTCAGCCTCCACTGGTTTGTCTTTGGCTTTCGGAGAGCATGAAGTTTCTCTCCTAAGTTTCTAAGCCCCTGCGCTACGTCAAAATGACAAGAAGAAGTAAAATAAAATTCATTAACTCACCAATGTAGTGCCTGTTCACTGAGGTACAGATCTACGCGAGTGTCCATACAAAAGTGTTCTGAGATGGTTTCATTTCATGTCAACTCCACAACATTAAAATAGAATGGATTATCCTTCAATTAGATACTGGACAACTGCGGTCCAAATCAATGCCTTGACGGTATACTAACACATTCTACCTCCTCCCAGAAACCTAACAGCGTACCGCATACTGTACGTCCACTGACTGTACGTCCCACATACTGTACGTCCACTGACGACCACTGAACACAAACAAAAAAACCGACGGTCTTCACTGTAAAAATGGCAATAAAAAAAAATTGATATGCAGTATCCCACTATACGATGGGACTAAAATAAAGAACCAAAAAATAAACATCTGATCGTGAGAGATAATAGTTCTCTAATATGTATAATACGTGTTCAAAGTAGTACAGTAAAAGTGTTCGACCAGTGACTGTGAATGGCAGGGCATTTCGGTCATATATGATACAACGTAATGGGGTTTTCCCAAAGAAAAAAAATAAAGTGTTTGAAAGTTCGGTATGTTGGGGTTTCACTGAATGGAAATCATATGTCTCAGTGTACAGCTAATATATTTTAAGTAAAAACCACCATGTGCTTAAAGAAGCAACACCATGAAGTCTTTTCCTCCTTTCCACCCTTTTTTTTCGCTGTCCAGAGGACTTATGCACACATTTCAACATGTATTTAGTTCAGGTTGACATCCTGAAGCCAAAATGAACATTAATTTGACGGGATCTGCTACCTCCACTACAATGTCCAGAAGCTTGCAAATTGTACTGAGGAAGCCTTTTTGGTGATTGGAAGTAAGACAATTGACAGTCCCCTCTCTGATGGTGTTCCGGGACCGCATAGCGGTCAATGTGCTCTTGGCGGTCGGGGAACGCCGATGGGCGCCTGACCGGGGGTGGGGGAGACGGGCGGGACTGGGAGCGGCCGGCTGCGCGACGCGCACCGACCGACCCCACGCTCGACACCGTCCCCTACCCCCGCGAGGATTTAAAGTGTGTAAAGCAGAAAAACCAGGCGGCTAATGATTTAAATTCCCTCCCATCTGGTAAAAGCAATTTGTGCCGCGCAAATGGGAAGTCAGCCACCTGTGCACTGATAAATTAATGTTCATTTAGGCTTCAGGATGTCAACCTGAACTAAATAAATGTTGAAATGTGTGCATAAGTCCTTTTGTTTAGGTGTGAGACTCAGTTTCATCGCTCACCTTCCTTGGTGGATGTTTCTATCGAGATGACCTTTTTACAATGTCCATCAATCGGTCAGCAACATTTTTGTCACGGGCCGCTTTGGAGTTACAAGTTACACCTTCCTTCAGTGGGTCGTTATGACGTGTGAAATGCCACTAGGTGGCAGAATCACTCTGCAAACCCTTTCATTGACCTTCGATGTTGTAACCCGCAGTGACGACCGAGGCACACCGCAAAGCTCAATCCCCTGGCCCCTCCTGTTCAGCATTTTCAGGCAGCCCGCACGTTTTCTGAGTTTGAATGTTTCTTCATTGGAATGAGTTGTATGATCAAATTAATGTTCATTTTTGCTTCAGGATGTCAACCTGAACTAAATACATGTTGAAATGTGTGCATACGTCCTTTTGTTTAGGTGTGACATTCATTTTGAGTTTTTATTGCTCTAAACGCATTTTCAGGCCAATCTTTTGGCGATTCACATTAGATGTGTTTGCGGACATTTGTTTTGCTACATTGAATATTATGATTTTTAAAAATGCAATTTTGCAAAAGTTGTTTTCATGATACACAAAACAAGTCCTGTACCCAAAAAGCTGAGCCATGGCCAACATCGTGTTCTTTAAGTTATACATTCTCATGAAAAGAAGAAGAAATTGGTACGCTCTAAGTTAAAATGTGTATTTTTTTTATATATTAACATGCTTGAGGGATGTCAGTTCCTTCCAAAGTGCTGCTGAGTGGCCCTCAAGCAAGGTACCGAAAGCCCAGATGCATAGGACATGAGCGCCCGTTTAACTCTTCACATTCAACGGATCTTGTTTCTGCAAGCGTGATTTTTTTCTAGGGCTTTTTTTTTTTTTTTTTTGCAACACCAAAATTCAAGTAAAGCTTTGAAAAGCATTTAAGAAAAATAGCTTAAGGCTAGCACTAAATGCAAAATGCCATTGATATTGTAACAATTGGCCAGGATGCCACCAACGGGTAATTGATTGCATTGACGAACCCTGCATGAACAATGGGACCTGCATTTTTCACCCACAAGGCTTTGAATGCCAATGTGCAATAATCAGAAAACTTTGAGGGGGTAGAGTTAACTGGAAGGCAGCTTGCACGGAGATAATGGAACCACTAATTGATTCATTCATTCAACACGCTGACCTTTACAGAGATTGAAACTGGGATTATGTGTGGAGTTTGCATGTTCTCCCCGGGCCTGCGTGGGTTTTCTCTGGGTACTCAGCTTTCCTCCCACATTCCAAAAACATGCATGGTAGGCCGGTTGAACACTCCAAATTGTCCAAGATGTGTACGTGGCAGCAGATCTAATAAAAGGACTACTCAGCTTCCCAGCAAGTGTAGCTCCTGAAATTGAGTCTCACACCTAAACAAAAGGACTTATGCACACATTTCAACATGTATTTAGTTCAGGTTGACATCCTGAAGCCTAAATTAACATTAATTTGATGATACAACTCATTCCTATGAAGAAACATTCAAACATTTGTATTTTTTGAATAATAATAATAATAATAAACCATACAACAATTTCTCAACCAGTAAAAGAATTTTAAAATCTATTTATTTTACAGCTGACCAGGAGCCATTGAAAAGCCTTTGGGACTGGCATAATATGTTGTGATCGCTTTGTTCTGGTCAAAACCAGAGCTGCAGCACATCTTGCATATGACTGGATTTTGTTATTTCAATCTATTGATTATTCGGTTAAAAAACAAACAAAAAAAAAACGGAAAATATTTAGCTCGTAAATGATCCGACCCCAGGAAGACAGGTGATTAAAATTCTGTCATACTTGTGTGAGTTTACTCTCACAGATCTCACAAGTTCCTCCAACGACAACACATTTGTTTTTCATTCAGCGTTTTTCTGAAGCCCTTATTTCCTGAGGCAGCAGGCAGTAACATTTCAATGTATTTAGTTTAGGTTGACATCCTGAAGCCTAAATGAACATTAATTTGATCATAAAACTCACACAAACAACACGTTTAGATAGACAATCCTTTTCGGTCCCAACACGAACAAAATGTCAAGGCAGCTCAATATTTTGATACAGATTTGGCTTTAGATTCATGCTGGGTGTCATCTGTCTCTTTGGGCTGGCGAAGAATTTTTGTGTGAGTGCGTGCAGGTGCTGTATACGTTGTTGCTGTCCCTCTTGAACTGCAACTTGCTCTCTTTCTGCTTATTTATGTTATTTATGGTGCACTTAGTTTGGAATAGAGCATCTGATGAAAATGTGTTGAGAGCGCAAGGGTGCGACACGTGTTTCGCCAGATGTGCATGGGACGAAAGTATATATATATATGTTGTTGTATATACGAAAGTAAACTCCCGCAGCAAGCCTTAGTGCTTTGAAATGATATTTAAAATGGAAGACTTTTTGGTGCGCCCTACAGTGCGGAAAATATGGTATTCGTTTTTTTGTTGCAGCCATGCAGCAGCAATCATGTTTAAGGTGGACATGGCAGTGACACTGGGCCTTTCCGCTTCAGCCTACACGTCACAATCCTGTCCAAAATTGGTACCGGTACTCTTCTCTGTGCTGTGTCAAATTTCAAATACATTTATTTTCACTTTACAGGGACTTTAAGACAACATATGGCCATCCATCATTTTCGTTTTTGGAGTGTTGGGAGACTCTTCAGACTTCAAAAGCAGCTACTTCGTCATGCCGGTCACCCAGTGAAGATAATTCTATGACATTTCATGGATTTAAAAACAAAAAAATCTCAAAATGAAAACAACAACAACAACAACAAAAAAGAAAAAGATCAATCTGAAACCTAGGCAGGCAAGCATAATCAATTTATCATTGCAGGCATGAGCTTTCTTCTTTGCGAGCATAATCAATCAATCAATCAATATCAAAATAACAATAATAACATTAATAACACCTAAACAAAAGGACTAATGCACACATTTCAACATGTATTTAGTTCAGGTTGACATCCTGAAGCCTAAATGAAGGTTAATTTGACATGTTGAAATGTGTGCATAAGTCCTTTTGTTTAGGTGTGACACTCAATTTCAGTTTTTATTGCTTGAACCGCATTTTCAGGCCGAGCTGAGCACGTTTTGGACGTGCATGGCCATTTCGATCACTGCCGTCTGCTGGTCAAGATTTGCCATTGCAACCTTCTGAAAGAAGAACGTACTATTTGCTATTAATCAAATTAATGTTCATTTAGGCTTCAGGATGTCAACCTGAACTAAATACATGTTGAAATGTGTGCATAAGTCCTTTTGTTTCGGTGTGACACTCACTTTCAGTTTTTATTGCTCTCACTGTGGTCCACTATATCAAACGAAGCAGTCAGGTCCACCAAAACAAGATACACATAGAGTAGTCTCCACTATCATTAAAAACCCATAAAAGGGCTGACGCTATCCGCTCCCCCTGCAGAACAACGAGCTCCCCGGACCCGAGTACCCCTACGAGACCACCGGTTGGGATGAGTCCAGTCCCTACGAGCCCTTCCGGAGCAAGCAGGTCCGCCGGAAAATTTGAAGAACGTACGTGCTCAAACTGTCCCTCGGCGGGGGTGCAGGTAGAGGGGTCCTGACACACGCAGATGGGGGTGTTGCTGTCGTCCACTTCGCACACTTTGCCCTTCTTGCACTCGTGTGAAAAAGGAATGGAGTGCGGCGTGAAGTCGGACCAGGATCAGCGCCAAGGCCAACTGGAAGCGCCAAGCTCGTTCCTCCTCCAAAGCAAATAAGCCGCGAGTCAGACGTCAAAATCCAAAATACCCATCATTTCATATTACTAATTGCTTGCATTTGAATTAAATTAATGTTCATTTAGGCTTCAGGATGTCAACCTGAACTAAATAAATGTTGAAATGTGTGCATAACTTTGATTGAATTTCAACCATATGATTTCATACTTGCTACCAATCCTGTAGATTGTGGACGGCAGAAGCAATAGTGTCTCAGATAAAATATGAAACATGCATTCTATTTTATCAATTAACCAAATAGTCATGTAATAATTGGCTCAAGAGTACAGTAATACAGTCACATAAATGAAAATGGATTCAGGCCCAAAATAGTGACTCATATGATGTAAAAATTGCAATTTGGACGCGTGTGCCATTTTCACCAAAAAATCCCAACGAGCAAGACTCCGAAAGATAGATTGATGCAGCTGTAGTTTATCCACCCAATGCATGAAACACTGAGGGGCAATAACGACCAAGTCTTTAGCCGGCGCGCAAACACTCATTCAACGCATTCTGAAGTTGCTGGAATGCGTTTAAAGCGACCATAATAAATAAGTTATTTATCGAGTGGCTTTCAATGTTATTTAAAATATCATTGAAAGCCACTCAACTAAGTGGAAATAATATGACGTAAAGAATACAGAGAATAATTTTGTTAACATATTTATGAAAATAACACTTCTTGTTGGATGGGAGTGATTCAAGTTTGCCCACCAAGTTCCAAAGCACTTTTTTGTGGCAATGAAGTGGACTGATCCAGGGGGGATTTTTTGTTGGTGTTGTGGGGCGAAAGGCCACATTTCCCGTGACTGTCCCAAGAGTAATTTGGGGGGGAAAAAAAATGACATCCCCTACATCGAAGTGAAAAACGACATCTGACATGGCATTTGGAAGTTTTCCCCACAGTACATCACGATTTGTCACGCGTTAAAATCAACAAGTCCAACGTGCACAAAACGTGCTCAGCTCGAAAAAGCAGATGCTAAAATGGAAAGAGCCCACCCAGCTGGAAAGGAACACGCAAAGCCGGGAGCATGCGTGCGTGTGTGTGTGTGTGTGTGTGTGTGTGTGTGTGTGTGTGTGTGTGTGTGTGTGTGTGTGTGTGTGTGTGTGTGTGTCTGTGCGCGAATGCACCCATCAAAAAACTGTATTGAACAGTCAAGCAAACTTAAACGGTGATTCCCTCGGTCGTTTACACATCGAATGATAAGAATTGGGCTCACAAAATTTTCTCAAATGAACATTAATTTGATTTGCCCAGCTAAAATAGAGGGAACATTGCTTGGGACAACGGCTGAAAACTAGTCCCTTGTTTTGGAAAAAAAAAAAAAAAACGCCTTTCGATACACGGTCTTTCAAAAACGACTTACTATAAATGGTTGTTCAAAAAAATCCCTATATATGGATAAAATTCTGACTTTTCATCACAATATCACATTATTTTCCAATATTTTTTTTTCTTCAACTTACAACTCCAAAAACTATGGATTAGCGATACTGGCTTTATTGCAGAGCTGGACAGCTCAGTAATGCTTCCAAGGGGATCCATTTGGAAGCCAAACAAAGAGGCGGGGAGGGGTGTGCACGCTCCGCACGCTCGGCTCGGTGCATCATGATGCAAACGGCACAGGAGAAAGGCAATTTGGACACCCACAGCCAGCTAGCTAGTTGCTCCTTGTCGAGAACGTAATGATTAATATATAATGATTAAGAAGCATTATATCTTTATTTGAAGCATAAGCGTTCGATGGAGGTTGAATTTTCAAAGAAGCATTGAAGGATGATTGATACTGTATACCGCCAATTTAAAAGGCAAAAAGGTCTGTTAAGTCTTACTCATGATGGCTCAGGGTGCATGTTGATGACGGTGGGGTTTTTCTTACGGAACTTCAGTTCACGGTGCATTTGACACCAGGTGCACCACATAAACGCCATGTGCCTGTATTTCATGTTACTTTCAGTACTGTTTCTCAAATGGTGAGTTACAGTACAATAAACTAATGATAAAAGGTTGGGTTCTTTGTGGTCGATGGAGAGACGAGCAAGTGTTGAAATTGCACGAGTGTTCAATAAACAAAACTATCTGATAGCAAATTCAAATATTTCCCGACAATATCACTTCAAAATAACGTTTTATCAATAACAATAACATAAGCTAAGAAGTCGATCAATTAATGATTGCAGGCATAAGCGTTCATCTTTGCAAGCATAATCAATTTATCATTGCAGGCGAAAGAAAATTCAACTGAATCACCAAAAACGTGAGTATTTTTCTGAAATGACGAAATCGCTCAGATTCTTTGGAAATGTTCTGTCTGCAAAAGGCTCCTAAATACTGGGAAAGCGCTGCTCAAATTCATTGTCTTGTATGTCTGGACAAGAAACTAAGGGAAGATTAAGTTCTGTGGAAGTAAGTGTAGAATTTTTTTTTTCCAGTAAGTTTCATTTACTGCCACAAGCAGTGAGCGCGTGTTCTTTCTCGACGGCAACGTAGGCTCCCATCAAATCGCAACGTAGTAAAATGCGATTGTGAAATCGGAAACGCTGAAATTTGGCAAAAAAATAAAAATAAATTACAAAAAATTTAAATGTTATTTAATTATTTTATAGCATAGTTTATTTTCATGGCAATTAATTTATGGCTAGTGTTTATTTGCTTACAATATCATTCTTATTTATTACAGATGAGAATTTGAAATTTTTGATTGAGATTTTAGCTAGCATCATGGAAGTTCACATTTGATTTGCTTTTGCGGGATTTCTCTCTGTGGACATGCAACCACTTATCCTTTCCACTCTGGGCACAGCATGTTGGCTACTTCATAGATAAATGATGGCCTGACAAACAGCCAAGTGAAATTATTCTGCAAATCATTTCATATTTATCTATTTTAAACTTCCCCTATAAATGGGCTCATCACCTATATGAGGGACCAAGTGGTTCGAGTGCAATGTAAGATGGAGGGCAGCAGTAGTTTTTTAATTTTCTCCACAGAGTTGTTATATAATGACGAACAAATCCACAAGTTTGAAAAGTATGTGTCACGCTTAACCGTTGGACTGCTCTCGCAGCCTAAGAAAGAGCACACGACGCTTGCTGTGATGATCTTGTGATTCGTTCCCGTTGCTCATGCGCAAAGAAATGTTGTGACGAAGCAAGATTGGATGACTTGCTTAAGCCAAGTCGTCTATCACTGACTGCAGAAAAAGCGGTTTTCTCTCAGTGATAATTTTACAGTTTACCGGCAGAGAGTCCCAGGGACTCGCTGATCAGAAAAGTATGAGGCCCATTATGCATTGAGAGAGTCCCAAATTTCGAATTCAATTGCATATGATAATAAAACAAACACCAACATATACATACAATGATAAACATGTATTCATACGTAGGCTGCGGTACTAATGGTCGTGAGAAAAAAATGACGCGATTATTTGTTCAAGAAGGCAACTGGGTCTTTGTGGAGTCCGCAGTGTTTGTGACCTCAAGATGAAACACACTTGGGTACTGCAGCAGGACAATGATCCCTAATACACCAGCAAGTTGGCTTTTAACAAAAAAAAAAAAAAAAAAAAAAAAGAAAACAAAAAAGGTGAGTTGTAGGTTTTGGAGAAGGTAAGCCAGACTTTCCCAATTGCGTGCATGCGTGCCACTCGCTTGTGCTCTCGCGTGTGCGTTTGCATAGAGTACGTGGCCATGTACACGTATGAGAGCAGCGAGCAGTGCGACCTGAGCTTCCAGCAAGGAGACATCGTGTCAAACTCAAGACCCGGGGCCAGATCTGGCCCACCACGTCATTTTATGTGGCCCATGAAAGCAAATCATGTGTGTCAACTTGCATGATCCTTGCTAAAATCTGGACCGAAATGAACTAAATACATGTTGAAATGTGTGCATAAGTCCTTTTGTTTAGGTGTGACACTCGATTTCAGTTTTTATTGATTTAAACGCATTTTTAGGCTGAGTTGAGCATGTTTTCTCAATGGCAAAATAAAGGTTGGGAAACACTGCAGCCTGCCTTTTTGAAGCGTAGCCATGTGCTAGTTGACATTTGTTGTGGCAACTGTCTGAGGAAGCAGATGCAAGAATTTCCCGCCACATAATCAACAAGATTTGAATCTACATAACTGGCAAAACAAGACAGGGGTTTTTTTTTGGTTTTGTTTTTCTACAAGAGACAGGACTTCCCTGACACATTTTTAGGAGCATGGATGGATGAAAAAGCCAAACAGGGAACAGAGAGCGATCAAAAAGCTCCGGTCCAGTCCACGATGGTCTAGTCGACTTTGTTCTTTTATCCCAGCTGGCTTCGGGCTGTAGAGTTGAGGAATCCAGTTGATGGCGATCGTCGGTTTTGGGAGCAGCGCAAAAGACAAGTTGGAATAGGAATCTTAAATTAGCACGTAAGGCTTTCTCCAGTCTCACTGCAGACGGTGGCAGACAGACAGCTGCCACACATATCGCATAAAGCGGAGCAAAAAAAGTTGAAGAAGCTTGCACGTATTTGTGCATGCCCTCTCTTGCCCCAGCTGACGAGCCCAGTTAGCCGTGGCTCCAAGCGACACTCATCATCCGCGGATGGACAGTGTCAGACATCTGGAGTGTTGCACGAATCTAATTTTAAAGTAGTTTTCCTTGGTTCAAAACACGAAAAACTTCTTAACAAGCACTATTTAAGTCACTTCGGGGAGTCATGAGAAGTGCAGCCATACTACAAATTCATTTGGAGACAGAATTTTCAGAACATAAATGGCTCTGCTATTGAGCCAATGTTTTTAAAATTGAAAAGGCCCTCACATGCACACGCACAGTCAACAAACCGCGCCGAAATAGGGGCAGAGGAATGCCAAAAAAGAGACGTGGGACTGATCCGGGGGGGGGTGCCTTCACACAAGTGGGCTGCCATTCAGGCTCTGATTTGCATTAGAATAGAGTGCACAGGATGACTGATTGGCTTGCCGAGAATGCTGCCGGCTTGGGAACACCCAGTTCCCCAACAACGTATTACAAAGCTTTGGATCCCGTCTTCAAATGTGTTTAAAGCAATAGCAAATTTCTGGGTGTTTTTGATATATGGCTTCCGCTTTACAGTGCAGAATTTTAACTTGCACTTTTGGATTAGGTGGCGAACTGTGTGCACATAAAAGGAAGATTAATCATTGAATGTCGAGTATTTGCACGTTTCCGCATGCAAGATTAATCAGGACGCGGTCGCACCTGAGCATTTATTTGGTGTCCTTATCCATCTTGAGGTCGATGTACTGGTACGGTGTTTGTCTTCACCAGTAAGACAATTCAGTGCATTCGTAGTGTGCATAAGTCCTTTTGTTTAGGTGTGACAGATTGAAACTTCTTCCGCCGGTCGTACAGACTCCGTGGAGGATTTGAATGACATGCTGAGATGTTTTTTTATTGTTGATAAGTACACTGTAACGTCACACTCTAAATTGCCCTGCAATTAGCTGGCAACCAGTTCAGGGTGTACCGCGCCTACTGCCCCTGAGAACCGAATTAAATGTATGAAAACTCACTGCATAATTATATTATTAATATTTTTATGAGAATTTGTACATTAGCTTTATGAAACAGTTAGTTACTCAGCATCGATTGCAGAAGGTGTTTCATTTTCAGATCGGGCCTTTTTTATCATGCCCGTAGATTTGGGAAGAGAATGCTATGACAGTTGTCATAAAAGTCACTCGCGATTTCTTCGATCATCATTTGACAATCAAAAGGCACCTCACCAATATCATACATTTTTATATAACTGTCTTTTTTCTTTTCTTCCTTTGTATTTTTTAATCTAACAAGCCCTGTGTTCATATTAAGGCAATGTTTGAAGTACCGGTAATATTGTCACATTTTTAATGGTCTTACAATTGGTTTGCTGACTGGAGCAAGAGTGTTAATTTTCTTATGTACTTAATTATTTACTTTTTGCTGGGACAGAAAAATCTTTCCCTGAAGGTTGTGAACGTTGCGATTTGGAGTGAAGACATGTGGAAGAGAAAGAAGGAGGCCTATCACTAGAGGGAAACACAGACCATCACATGATTCATGACAACATTTTGAGAACCTGCTCAGCTCGGCCTGAAAATATCGGGGAACCTTGCGTGAATACTTTGAATCAAACTTAATTGACTGCTGCAGGCGAGAAGGGATATTGACTTCTATGCAAAGTCATTTCTCAACTTGTCTTCCATGCCATGTCATGCCTGTTGAGTGTTGATTTACTTCAAATCAAGAGTTCCTTTTATACAAGTGGTAAGGTAAGATTCTGCTTGGCGAAGGCAGACAATTTTTGGTCTGCTCCTGCTTCTCCACCCCCACTCCTCTGCTTGCTGACTAGGTCAAATGTGCTTCACATATCCCCACATACGCGTTATTTACCGCTCTAGCTATCTCTTTATCAGCTAAATGACTAAATCATTTATAAGAACGGAAATAAAAATAATGAACAAGTAAACATTAAATCATATGCAAAAACTGAAATTGAGTGTCACACCTCAACAAAAGGACTAACGCACACATTTCAACATGTATTTAGTTCAGGTTGACATCCTGAAGCCTAAATGAACATTAATTTATCGGTCTGTGTCTCCCTCTAGTGACCAAAAACCGATATTGTCTCCTAGTTGTCTGTCAAACGTTGCCTCGGCAACGCGCAGAATCTATCCATCCATTCATTTTCTGAAGCCTCCACCGTTCTCATGTATACTGTCATGCAAGGCTAGAAGACAATATCAGCTTTTGGTCACTAGAGGGAGACACAGACCATCAATCAGCCTGCCATGCATGTTTTTGGCAGTTTCACCAGTAGATGTCGCTCTTAGCCTATGAACCTTGCAAGCAAGGGCTGAAAAACCTCGCCGTGTCATGTGACACTTGAGTGTCACTCTGCTGGCATAGTTCATCGGCAGTAAGTTGAGGAGCTTCATTCTCCCCTTGCCGTTTTTAATTTTTTTGTAGGGCCCAATCTACTACTCAGTGGCAAATTTTGGTAGCGTGTCGTTTCCGTGGCGTCATTTTACCTTCCCCTAGAGGTCATTGGATGGATTGCAGCTTTTGGGTCAATTTGATCATACAACTCATTCCTATGAAAAAATGCTGTGTTTAGCTCTGGTGCCCCCTATGGGCAGACAGCTAAACATTCTCTGAGTACGACTATTATTCAGTGACAGTGGTAACTACAGTGAACAGCTTACCAGGTTATCAGGTTAGAGGTGATCATTATTTGTGCATGATATTTCGTTCCTCCGGTGTTTTCTCCCAGTTCAACACTAATCGTTTCCACTGTCAGAACTTGAGAACTCTGCAATTTGTGCCAACTGGATTAAAGTTATGGCTGAATACTCAATCACTCGCCAGTGCCGCAGTGTGGCTCTCTCGACGTGGCTCGATAAATTGGATAAGTGCATGCTCTCCCCATGCCTGCGGGGGTTTTCTCCAGGTACTCCGGTTTCCTCCCATACTCCAAAAACATGCACGGGAGGTTGATTGAATGCTCTAAATCGCCCCTTGGTGTGAATGTGAAGGTGAATGGACAAGGCGCAGAGGCCAAGAGCCATCCTGACATGAAGCTGCCGAATTGTGCAAAGCAGACAGCAAAATGGGATTAAAACCCTCAAGGATTCATCAGCGATTGCTGTTCTCGTCCAAAGATTCCCAACCCGCACAGTAACCTAATTTCGGGAATTAGTTTTCAAGCATGCACGTCGGACACGACACGTGACGTACCACTGTCGCTTTCGAAGCAAAAAAAGGCCCAAAGTGACGGGATTTGCAAGCAAGGCCTGAAAAACCTCGCCGTGTCGCTCCCGTTGTCTGTCAAACGTTGCCTCTGCAACTAAAATGGAGAAAAGAGGATACACACCCAGTTCTGTGTTACACAGAACGTCTCAGACCTTTGCGATGATGGGAAGATGGAAGAGAGTGATGCTTTTCTTACAGGTCACAGAGCACGCAGGATCAAAAGGACTTATGCACACATTTCAACATGTATTTAGTTCAGGTTGACATCCTGAAGCATAAATGAACATTAATTTGATCAGCCATCACCGGACAAGTGGCTCCTCCCTCCAAGCAGCCAAGCGCACCACCATCAAGAAGTACGGCCAACGCTTCCTCAAACTTAATCTGGGTCTGCGCAGCTGCTTCCCCTTCGTCTTCACCATTATAGCCTATTCATTACAAGGGTGGGTTGCAACACATTCCTCTTGCCCAAATTACCCCTTGACAACATATTCACAATGGTGCAGTTGCGTTTCATTGCCCAAAATCTCTTATTTTAAGTTTGGTCATGTGGAAATGATGTGTTCGCAAATTGGCCATTTCCCGGCTCTGATCAACTCCTTTGTTTGTTTAGTTCAATTGCTGAAAACGGGGAGATGGTGATAGCATCTTTCCTGCCTTCTGCAGATTGTCAATTTCAGTTTTTAGGCCCGTGGAGAACAAGCCCCTTTTGTGTTGCCAGCTCGGCCTGACTATGCATTTTTCACCGGTTCAGTGTGCGGGGCTCTCAGGGCGTGGTTGAACCGCACCGCTCACCACACACGGCACACGCTCGATTGGCCTCAGCCAAGAGCACATTGACCGCTATGTGGTCCCGGAACACCATCGCGGAGCGTGGCCGGTGGAGAGGCGTCCAAGGTCGGATGAATGGAGCGCGGAGTGCGCTCCTCTTCTTCTCAATGGCTGGAGGTACCAGGGGTGAAGAGCGGGCCGGCGCGGGGGGCTGAGAGCGGCCGGGAGGGAGGCCTCTCGGCCGGATTAAAAAGTGTGCGGCGCAGCCCTAAAAACTTAAAGAGTTTGCACCGCCGGAGGGGGACGGCGACGAGGCGGTGCATGGCCGGCAGAGAGGCGTCTCGGTCGGATGAATGAAGCGTGGGGCGCGGCGGGGGACACCCTGAACCGGTTGCCAGCCAATCGCAGGGCACACAGAGACGAACAACCATCTGCGCTCAC